TGAATTGTTAACGAGGGGCTGCTGGGGGTGATTAGCAAGTTCATTGTGTGAACTGTTCACATGTCCTGGTGAATTTCACTACTGTTTCCTTACTGTCAAATCATATAACATCGATCATTCCTGAGTCATCAGTCCTGGATATAGAACGACACTGATCAAGGAAGTCCCAGGTATCAGGTTGTTATTTCTTGTATTGATGTCAGTTTGTTACATGTGCCTGTGTGAAAGGTTGATTAGGCAAGGTGAAGTCCAGAGTGTAGTATCTAAACTGCACAGAGATGAGGAGTGGCAGAGTCAAAGATTCTCCTGGTTTCTAGTGATACAACTTACAGTTTAGTCTAGCCATATACTGGTAGTAGTCTCTGCAGATGGTCTTAATTAATGTGATTTGTGTTTGTTTTTTATTTTACGTGTAGGACGTATTTGCATTGCCATATTTTGAAAAGATCTATGTAGCTCATCTTTGGCTCTTACATTCTACTGTGGAATATTAAAACTATTGCATTGGCTTCTGGGTATAGAAAGCCTTAAACTGTTGACATGATTTTGAACATCTAAGTACATTAGCAATGTGTGTCCATTTATGGGAGTGTGGGACAGAGTGTGAGAGCAAGAGGATGTTTTTAAAAAAATTGCAGCAGGTGCTACTGTATTACCACGATGGTTTGCCACCATCCTCATTATATTTCTTGGCTCAAGAGATCAAGAGTTAGGGCTGTTGTGAATACAAGGTTGTGTTCCTCTGTTCCATATGTATCATTTAAGTCAATTGAAGGATGAGGCAATAGCATTTTCTGCCATGTCTGGGAGTTGCAAATTAATGGTGGGAGGGAGCATGCAGAATCCAGTCCTCCAAAATCCATTCCCCATGAACCCCAGCATCTGCTATGTAAAATGGCCACCACTGTCTATCTAATGGTAGAGCCCACTTTATTCTCCCTGGGTGCAAGATTGAGCATCCATGCTTAGAGGAATTAATACTATTGCTTTTTGCTCCAAACATTTGGCAAAGAAGTCAGGTAACGGAGAGCTGGCCCCAGCAAAGGCCTTCTTCTCTCTGTTAATAGTTTTAGCAACATTGCTTTTACTTTTCTTAATATATTCTTCTCTTTGAGAAGGGACTGTTTCTTCCATCCCCAAATTCTTTTCAAATACTGCCTCTATAATTGATCGTTGCTTCTGTAGCTGTTTTAGTTTTTCTTTCTTGACAGTTTAACAGGTACAACCGTCCCTGATCTGATTGTCAGCACTCAACACCAGATGTGGCTCCTCTTCCAGACTGATAGTGTGAGGAACCTACTAGGGTTCAAAGCAACTTATGAAGGTAAATCAAGTTTCTATGTTGATTCCTTATTACGCAGACGCATCCCACAGACACTTTACCTGGAAATTTATGGACGTGAAAAAGAAATAGGTCTTTGTAAAAATGAAGGACAATACAAGTGAATAAGATGGATAGATTCATTGTGGTGTATTAAATATATGGTTACCTTCTCCAATCTGATACCCTCCAAATACGTTGGACTTCCTGTCCCATTGTTCCCATGGCTAGATGTGTTGACAGTAGGAATCCAACACATTTGAAGATTGCA